GACTGGTGTCGCGTCAGCCTTGTTCCCCCCCCCCCCACTGGGAGATGATTTCTCGCTTTCTGTCTCTGTCTCTCTGGTGCGCGCATATGCTCTATAGCAAAAATCTCTAAAAAAATTTTTTTTCTTTTACTGCAAAAACTTTTTTTTTTTTTAGTTATTACAAAATTTTCTTGGGAATCACCTTTTACAGCTCCATCACTTTTCCGCGGGGTGACTGTGTGTGACTGACTCATTCCCTGATGTCGGAAATCTCCAGGTTATCCCGTCTCATGCTATGAATGCAGCAGTAGGCTTTATTTACTGCTTCATTAATGGAGGTATTTGCATACCTCCATTAAGGGGTATGTTCTCAGTTAGAGTTCCATTCAACTCATTGACACATTCCCACAGTGATGCCCCAAGTACCCATTTTTTTGTTTGTTTATTTTGGAGAGATTTTTGCTATAGGGCGCGTGTGCTCGCCAGAGACAGAGAGACAGAAAGCAAGAAATCACCCCCCCGGGGGGGATGGCCACGCCGCAAACTCTTCTCCATTCTCCTCTCCGAATCTTGGGCACACACGCACATGCACCCGGCGTGAGTTCAAGCCACCGGGTCCAGGACTCGAACCATGGTCGACTACATGGGAGTTCAGCGACATAGCCATTACGCTAACTGCTGGTACAACTGAATACTTGTTTTTATCATCTCCTTAACAGCTTCTGGGTTAAAACACTGCGCTTTGTTCATCTGACTGGTGAGAATACCGCCTATTTCAGATTCACGTCTTCAGTAGCTGTGTAATGTTCTGTCCAGGAAGCTGTTACCTGTTCATTGGCTGGGGTTGTTCATCCACTGTCACGGGGTGGCACACTTAGGATGTTGCCGTGTCTATGTTTTGTCACTGATGCTGTTGTTAACATCTTGTGCTTAAAACCTAAACTAATTCCTCGCTTCTGTCGTTTCTCTCTCTGAGGGCGCTATGATGCCCGGGCCAGAGTCCTCGTCTGCCACATGACCTCCCTGCTCCAGGTCTCCTTGGAGGAGCTGGATTTCCTTGAAGAGACATTCCTTGAGAGCCTGAAGGAAATCAAAGAGGAGGAGTCAGAGTAAGAAAGCCCTGCTACCCTGTTAGGATTGAACAGCTGCAGCAGTTCATCGTGGCTAGAGCCTCACCTGAATGCACCTGGCAGGTGACAACCCCAAGCCCTCGGCGAAGAGGGTGCAGCGAGGTGGAAGAAGCACTGGGTGAAGAGTCCCGGCTATAGCACTGGCTCGCATGTGACCGTCGCCACTCTCTGGGCCTCGGTTCTTGTTTGCGAGAAGGGAGGGTTGAATGCTGATTACTGAGGGCCACAGTCCCATGCCCTGATGCCCTGCTCCACTCAGGCGCTCGTGACACCTGGTCTGTGAGTCTGAGTAACCTGGATTCAGATCCTGTTCCGACACCCGTCCTCCATTCAGCCTTGGGCAGGTGACCTCCTTTCTCCAAGTTGAAATATTTTATCTGTAAAACAGGAATAAGGATAGCACCTTCCCAGGGCCACGGAGAAAAATGAGTGTGATTATATTACAATCCTAGGGCTGGCACATTGCAGGTGCTCAGTAGCTATGAGTCCTCCTTTCCCCCCACGTTCCCCTGGACCCATCAGCTGTAGAGCAGTTCTACTTATCTATGTATGGTCAACAGTGTGGAGAGTGATATCCTGGTAACTAGCCAGAGCTTGGCCTTTCATAGAACGCCTCGCATGGGATCTAATCTGGGAGCCATAAATCAATCCCAGTCTTGGCCTGATTGTGGGCTCCTGGTATCAGGCACGTCTCCCTAGGTCTGGCTTTGGTTCAGCCACGGTGGCTTTTCTTTGAGGAGCAGGTTACTCCAGTTCAGCCCAGCTGGGAAATTCATCCTGAAGCCAAGTTCAGAGCCATTGAACCCACCTTCCTGCTGGATTTAGTGGGGCAAAGGTTAGGGGTTTTCCTTAAAGAAGGAGGAAACTTGGCCTGAAACAACATGGAAACATACCTACTTTGACTCCCAGAGCTGTGCCAGTGAAGAAACTGGGTCCAGGACAATTACCACAACCACAAAAGCTGCTCAGTTTTTTTGGTTAAACAAGTTGAGTATCATTTTTCCAAAATTCTTGGGACCAGAAGTATTTCAGACTTCAGATTATGGAATATTTGCATACACATAATAAGCTATCTTGAGGTGGAAGACCAGCAGGTGGTGTGGTGGTTAAGATGCTGGACTCCCACGTGGTCAACTGATTCAAGCCCTGGACACAAAGGCTTAAATCATGCTGGGCATGTGTGTGTGCATGCCTAAAATACCAAGAGGAGAATGGAGGAGAAGGGATTGTGGCATGGCCATCCTCTCTGAGGGGTGATTTTGCTCTCTCTATCTCTCTCTGTCTCTCTCCAGCAAGCACATATGCCCCATGACAAAAACCTAAAATAAATAAAAATGAATAAATAATTTTTTTTTAAAAAAGTATCTTGGAGATGAGACCCAAGTCTAAACATGAAGTTCGTTTTACGTTTCATGTTTACCTTATACACATAGCCTGAAGGTAGTTTTATGCAATATTTCTAATAATTCTATGTATGAAACAATTTGTGCACATCAAGCCATCAGATCAAAGGTGTCACTCTCTCAGCCACTAATCTGGATATTATGCAGTTGTTTGGAATCACTGTCATTCTTGACTCTGAACTTTTATTCTACCAACAATTATTGTCTTACTCTTGTTTTCACGTAAGGTCAAGTGTGGCACTTCCACTTGTGTCATGTCAGCACTCAGAAAGTGGGAGATTTGGAAGCATTTTGGATTTCAGATTTTAGATTAGGACTGCTAACCCGTTTAGAAATCCATAGAGTGTTATATGCCTTGAAATTAAGGATACTCTCAGTTATTGTTTGGAAATCTTATTGTCAGAAAGAAACGTTACCCAGAGGGACTTGTTCTGCTATTAGCTATCACTCCAGGGAAGGTGTCATCTGGGAGTTCTAAGCAGCCCAGCTCTGCCACCTGCTGGCTGTGTTGTCTTGTGTCAGTTTCCTTGTATGCAAAATGGGGGTGACTATAGCACCCTTATAGAATTTTTACAGAGTTCAAACAAGTCCATAAGTGTAAAGTACATCGAATGGGCCTGGGGCAGAGAAGCTAGTCCCTAAATATTGTTTTCTCTTGTTAACAAGAGAAAATAACATTGTATTGTTATCATGTATAGAACCTTTCCCTGTAAAAAAATTTGACCTGTGTAACTTTTTATTCAATTTTAGAGACTTTGGAGAACCTTCAGATTTCTGTGGTTTCTGGAGGATCTGAGACCCAGGGAAAGCATAGCAACTGCTCCATCAGGAGCAGCTCGGTTTGATCCACTATTAACTCGCTGTGTGGCCTTGGGACACATGGCTTTCCCTCTCTGGGCACCAAACCAGTTTCTCCACCTGTACAATTAGGGTATCAAATTATATTGTGGATTTCTTTATTCTAAGGTTTTACTTGGCATTTGATGAGGATTATTTGCAGCTGGGGCTCAAGGTGTGCCGTCCCACCCTCTGTTCGTGGGTCTCCATCTGACCCCTAGGGCCATCCAAGCGCCTTCACTTCTTTAGTGACCTCACCTCTCTATGCCTCAGTTTCTTCATCCCTGACTTAGGGTGCTTGTTACGCAGGAGGGGCTCCGTAAACACCAGTTAACACCTCGGAGGTCTGTGCCACTTGCATCCTGATCACACCGCCAATGTTGACCCCTTTTTGGTCTTTTTAATGATCGTTTGTTTGTTTGATTTTTTTGCCATAAGGCGTGTGCACTCACGAGAGAGAGAGAATGAGAGGGAGAGTTGGAAGTCACCCTCCAGGAGGGATGGCCACACCTCAGTCCCTTCTCCTCCACTCCTCCTGGGATTTGGGGCATGCACACACACGTCTGTGATTTTCAAGCCGCTGAGTCTGGCACTCAAACCATGCCTGGCCGCGTGGGAGTCCAGCACCTTAACCACCTGCTGGCCACTCTGCCTTTTTGGGTACAAGACTCCATCTCCTCTGATCCTTGTAACAATCCCCCTGCAACTTTGTAGATAAAGTCAGAGGAGTGACACGACTGCTCAAGGCCATACGCGGGTCTGTGACGTCACCTGATTCAACCGCCATATCTAGTCTCGATGTCACGTTTTGTGTCCCTCAAGGCCTGGTTGACAACCCCAAGTTCCCTGTTCAGTTCTGAAGTTGATAGCGCTTTCCAGCTTTTACTAGGAAAGCGTCTCTAGATAAGCTCTCCCTACTGTCAACATGAGAAAGATTGAAAACAAGGTGGTGGTAAATAGATAAGGATGGGAAGCGCCCTCACGTGGGAGATAAGGTGACACTGAATGAAACACTTCGTGGCTCCATGAGTGGGTGCCTCGCTCTTCATGAGTTAGCCAACCCGGAACTTGGCCCTCCATCTTTGGGAGGCAGACACGGAACCCCAGCACGTGGCTGTGGCGAGTGAGTGTATGACGGTGAGGGTTGCCATTGTGTCTAATCAGTGGGCAAAGTCTAGGAACCAGTGTGTCGTTCATATTTCGTGTTGGTGCTGTCTGTTTTCATTTCCATGGAAAAAGAAGGGAGCACTACGGGTGTGACTCAGCAACATCTCATCTCGCACTTTAGATGTTGAAATTCAACCGAACAGTTGAAATTATCGCGAGAGTAGATAATTATGGCCATAATTAATGATGTCTGGGAAGCTGTTCATTCTATGTACAGAACAGGTATTAAGAAGTTACAAATACATAAATAAACATGGAAACGACTGGTCATTCAGGTGAACACTAGGAGAGAATGCCTTAACTAAGAAACTTTAGGGAAAATATTTTCTTTTTGAGTCAACAAATGTTTATAAACATTTAAAAATATTAAAGCATGGGGGCCAGCAGGCAGCATGGCGGTTAAGGTACTGGACTCCATATAGCCGACCGCGGTTCAAGTCCTGGGCCTAGTGGCTTGCTCCCTCACTACCCCCACCCTCGTCCCTTCCTGGTGAACATACATGCACTATATCAATTAAAAATAATGATAATATGGGGCCGGCAGGTAGCGTGGTGGTTAAAGGCGCTGGATTCCCACATGGCCGACCATGGTTCGAGTCCCAAACCTGGCGGCTTGCTTTCATACTTTCTCTCTCTTTCTCTCTCTCTCTCTCTCTCTCTCTGTCCCTTTCTGGTCAAATTGAAATAAACAAATGAATAAATAAATAAAGTTAAATGAAATAATTCTTTAAAAATAATGATAATAAATAAATAAAAGTAAATACATAATCTTTGAAAATACATATCTGTGTGTATATATACATGTGTGTATGTTTATATATACACGTGTGTATATATATGTTTGCGTGTATGTATACATATATGTGTGTGCGCATATATAAATATCAGAATACTAGATACTAGCAATAAGAGCGTATTGTCCGCCTCGTCATTGTAAAGTGAATTCGATGTCCTAGCACCCAAACCACACAGTCTTCAAGGACTGCGTTTACTTCTCAGGCGTCTTACCCCATGTAGGTTGTGAGTATTCCCTTCATTGACCTCAGCTGCAAGTGGAGACTGGTGTCATAGATGTGCAGATACCACTGCAGAAACAACCCCGAGCAGGTGAGGCTGAGAAATGTCACAGGCACTGACACAATCTCACTAGGTTCTCCAGAGCGAGTCCGTAGTGGCATGAACAGTTTCTAGTATTTCAGACTTGGTCTGACACCCTGCAGTCTCCACTTAATGGTGATCGGCCTACACTGTGGCTGCATATTGTCATTTAGCCAAAATGTCCGTTCTGTGCCACTCGGTGTCCCGAGATATGGGCAACGGATGGAAGATTGGATCACCACAGCAAGGTGTCACCCTCAGTCCTGCTGGAACAGTTTCATAATACGATTTTTTGAGTGCCCCCAGGTTCCTAGTCAGAGAATGATTTGTGGGAGGGGAGTTGAGTGGGAGGGACTGGAATGGCTTTGGGATATGCCCTGAAGGCTTAGCCCAGCAGTTTTCAAACATGAGATACGACGGAATCCCTGGAGGAGTCTATTACAAATAGATTTTGTAAGAACTCTCCTGCTCAGAGATTCTGGCCCAGGAAGCTGTGTTTTCCCTAGATTCCCCCTGGTGATTTCGATGCCCATCCTTTGGTCTAGAATTCCAGGATAATATGGTACAGAGAGTGGGGGGCCAAGAGTCAGGGCATTTCAGCAACTTTGGAGCTCAGGGCAGGCTTCCTGGAAGGGATGTCACACGTCTGCTGACTCCTGAGGGATGAGTAATGTTGAGGCAAACAGGAAGGTGAGGCCAAGGGCCACAATGTTGACGTCCTGAGGCATAAGGCAGTGTGCCTGCAAGCTGGCTGGTGTTTCTGGAGAATAAGGTGAAGTTAAGAAATGATGAGAGAAGACCAGGTGGTTAAGGCTCTGGATTCCCACGTAGCTGCCTGTGGTTCGAGTCCTGGACCTGGCAACTTGCTTTCTCATCTCCCCCACCCCCATCTCTCTCTTGTAAATCCATGTGCTCTATAGCAAAATAAAAGATAATGGGGACCAACAGCTGACGTAATCGCTATGTTGCTGAACTCACATGTAGTCAACCGTGGTTCGAGTCCCCGACCTAGTAGCTTAAACTCACACCGGGCGCATGTGCATGCGTGCCCAAGATCCCGAGAGGAGAATGGAGGAGAAGGGATTGCAGCGTGGCCATCCCCCCTGGGGGGTCATTTCTTGCTTTCTGTCTCTGTCTTTCTGGCAAGCGCACATGCCCTATAGCAAAAACCTCTCCAAAAAACTAATAAAATAAAATTAAAAATAATGATATTAATAAGTAATGTCTCTGTCTTTCTGGCGAGTGCACATGCCCTATAGCAAAAACCTCTCCAAAAAACTAATAAAATAAAAAATAATGATATTAGTAAGTAAAATTAAATAAAATTTTTTTTTAAATACTGATGAGAGATGAAAATAAGTAAAATTAAATAATTTTTTTTTAAAATAGTGATGAGAGATGAGGCTGGAGAAGGAGGCAGGGCAGGACACACAGGGCCTGAGGTGACGCTGTCCTGAAGGTGGCCGAGCTGGGGAGGAGGAGGGAGTCACCGTCACACTTCCTTACATGGCACTGGCTGCTGCGGCGGTGCCGTCCCATCACCCATCCACGGCTCCGTTTTCCACTTATGTTTCCTGACTGAGCAAATTGGGCTCAGAAAACTTGGATGACCCAACAGGATCGTGGCAGAGCTGGGCTCGAATACCTTCTCCCCTAGTTTCCCGCTATCTCCCCAGTCGGTATTTGTGGGGTCACGGCACCGCTGACTCACAGAGCCACATTGTGTGTCAACATGGCATGTTCCTGTTGCATGTTGTCAGCAGCCTGGAGTTTTCCCTCAGGCCTTGAACTCTGCCAATAATTTGCAGCCTTCTGGTCTGAACTGAATTAAAGGTCATCAGTTAGAGGTCAAAGTATATCCCCAGCCTGTGTTTAGAAGGAAGTTGCTGTAAGAATGGCAGGAATAACAACAACACACACGTTGAATGACTGCAATGTGCCAGTCACTGTGTGTGACCTCTCCTGCCATCTTGGGTGGTGTTATTATCCGCATTTGCTGGGTGAGGAAACCCAGCCATGACAGGTACTTGGTGCACAGCCACAAAGTCAGTAAGTGGTCTGGTTCATCAGGATAGGCTAGGTTTTGCTGCTGTAACAAAACACCTCCGATTCTCCCTGGCTTTCTCGTCCTGTATGTCCACTGCAGATTGGCTGCAGTGTTAGTCCACACTGTCTGGCTTCTAGGTCCCAGGCTGACAGAGTGGCCCCTGCCTGGACCATTGCTGGCCTCAGAGCAAAAGGACACGTAACAGCGTCCTTAAAGCTTCTGCCAGAGTGACACATCACTTCCACCCTCATTTCATTGGTTAAATCTGGTTGTGATGGGGCCAGATGGTGGCACAGCGATGTTGAAACTGGACTTACATGGGATGGTCCCATGTTCACGTCCCAGGGCCTCCCTGCATATACCAGGCCCATGCATGTATTCCCATGGTCCAGACCAGCTGAGGGACTCTGCTGGGGGTCTTTCTCTCTCCCTCTCCCTGTATCTCTCTTTCATGGAATAAATGAATAGACTTTTTAAAAGTGGCCCTATGACCTCTCAGTAGATAGGGCAGGGCTGTGTAACTTTCCATACAGAGGGGTAGCTGGACATGCATGAATGGTGATTCAGACCTCCACAACAGCAGGGATGGAATTCACGCCTGCCTTCCAGGGCTCAGATCCTGAGGTGTTAATGGCCATCCTGCCTTCCACTCTGCCAGACGTGGCAGCCCAGCCTCATCCCACTCCACCAGAGCCGTCAAGCTCAGTCAGGGGAAGCCAGCAGCTGTGGTGTGCGTGCTGTGTCTCCGGCGTTTGCTTCCCTGTGTGAAGCAATTGAGAAGTGCTGTGTTTACAGCCAGGAGGTTCTTGGGAGAAATTGTGTTGAGGTGGGCTGGCGGGAAATCACAAAGCGGAACAGGCCAGTCGTGGTGGCTCGGCGCTAACACAGCACTGCGATGCTGAGGCCGTGTGGGAAGTGCTGGGTTTGCATCCTGAGGTCTCCCTGTGTACTCCAGGTTCACGATTCCCACGATCCTAACTGACAGCCTGGAGCTGGACCATGGCATGGGCACCCTGTTGGGGATGTTGGGGACCCCCACCTCTTTCTCATGGATGAACAGATGAACTTAAAAATAAGCATGCCAGATCCTCAGAGGCTTACTCTGTTTTCTTAGATGAATGGGGGAAAGAGCTGTTTCTTAATAAAATGTGAATGGAAGACGATGGGAAGGAGACAAGCAGGGACTGAGCGTGTGTGTTTTCTGCTTGCGGAAGGCAACAGCCGGCCGGCACGTGGGTCATTCTCAGTGGAAGTTTGCTAGTTAGATGGATGAAGACGGAATGGGTTTAATCTTTACAGACCAACAACCTGATGAAGCAGATGTTATCTTTTTTTAAGAATTATTTGTTTTTTTATTTATTCATTCTTTTATTTTAGTTACTTATTTATTTTTAATTTGAACAGAGAGAGAAAGAAAGTGAGAAAGCAAGCCACCAGGTCCAGGACTCGAACTATAGTTGGCCACGTGGGAGTGTCCAGAACCTTATTGAGGTGGGCTGGCGGGAAATCACAAAGCGGAACAGGCCAGTCGTGGTGGCTCGGCGCTAACACAGCACTGCGATGCTGAGGCCGTGTGGGAAGTGCTGGGTTTGCATCCTGAGGTCTCCCTGTGTACTCCAGGTTCACGATTCCCACGATCCTAACTGACAGCCTGGAGCTGGACCATGGCATGGGCACCCTGTTGGGGATGTTGGGGACCCCCACCTCTTTCTCATGGATGAACAGATGAACTTAAAAATAAGCATGCCAGATCCTCAGAGGCTTACTCTGTTTTCTTAGATGAATGGGGGAAAGAGCTGTTTCTTAATAAAATGTGAATGGAAGACGATGGGAAGGAGACAAGCAGGGACTGAGCGTGTGTGTTTTCTGCTTGCGGAAGGCAACAGCCGGCCGGCACGTGGGTCATTCTCAGTGGAAGTTTGCTAGTTAGATGGATGAAGACGGAATGGGTTTAATCTTTACAGACCAACAACCTGATGAAGCAGATGTTATCTTTTTTTAAGAATTATTTGTTTTTTTATTTATTCATTCTTTTATTTTAGTTACTTATTTATTTTTAATTTGAACAGAGAGAGAAAGAAAGTGAGAAAGCAAGCCACCAGGTCCAGGACTCGAACTATAGTTGGCCACGTGGGAGTGTCCAGAACCTTAACCACCACGCCACCTGCTGGTCCCCAGATGTTACTATCTTATTAGTATTTTACAGAAGAGGAAACAGGCTGGGGAGATGTAGCCCCGTGGTAGCCACAGCTGCGGTTTGGTTCAGACTCACAGGGGCCAGCCTTAGGGCGGGTACTTCACAGACGTTCTCCCAATGCAGCCCACAGCCCTCAGGCGGGTGGGTGCTGCCATCCATTCACTCACGTGTGACACGGGGACAACAATAATACTGCTGCTTAGGATGAGATAAGCCGCAGGAAGCACAAAGCCCAGTGGCTGGTGTATAGGAAGCCCTTGATAAATATTAACCATTCTTTTATCGTCACCATCACCTGCAATCATTCCACAGCCCTGGTCCAAACTCCAGGTTGAGTGCAGAGTCTGCACACTAATGACCACCGTGCCGTGTCCTGCCCTCGGCCTCCCATCTTCTTCCCCATGGCCTCAGAGCAGCTGGGGACAGAATGTCTGCCAGGAGAATTGGGCTCCGTGACTGCTGGGTGCTCACCACAGCTGTTCTCAGGACTGACCCCAGATCAGTCGAAATGCTTTCCTTTTGCTAGGTTTCAGAGCATTCACATTTCAAGTCTGAGTGAGTCTAGCTGTTACTGCGAGGCCCAGGTCTCCCGTGCAGACATTTCTCGAACCCATTTTCCAAATGATTATTCTGATGGGCATTGGCTTCCAACTGTCGTAGGGGGAGATGAGATCAGAGGGTGTGATGGGGAGGGAGGGAGGGAGGCGATCGATGGAGTCTGTGATTCTATGTTGCAGTCTTTCTGGGTCCATCTGTTTAAAGATATTATTTTGTGCTTCTCTTGCTATTATTATTACTTTTTTGTCTTTTCATTGTTCAAATTGCAACCCTGTTAGGATGGCTCCATTGGGTAAGTAGTATGTCCCACACACTGAGATTCCCCATCTGGGTTTGAGAATATTTTCAGCTTTTTAAAACCATCAATAGGCCCAGGGTGACTTTGGCACCTCACTCTGCATGACAGAGTATCTACCCAGCATTGACCCCAGTTTGAGGATCGGCAAGGGGGGCAGGTCTCGGGGACCCTGGGCACAACTGCCCCTAAAGACCAACTTCTTCTTCCTCAGAATGGCTGAAGCATCCCGGAAGAAGAAAGAAAACCGCAGGAAATGGAAGCGTTATCTCCTGATAGGCCTGGCGACCGTAGGAGGCGGAACAGTGATTGGTAAAGCCAGCGGGAAATGGGCACGGAGGTTGGGGCCGTGTGGAGCAAAAGGTGACCCCAGGCTGGGAGTGAGATCAGAGAGTGGGGGATTGGATCGGATTGGCCCTGGGCATGTGGTAGGTGCTCAGTCAAGAGACTCCTTCAAAGCCTCCAGGCTAGCTGGTGGGGTGGTGGTTAAGCCTGCTGGATCCCACTTAACCAACTGTGCAGTTGGAGTCCTGGACCTGGCAGCTTGAGAGGCATGCCAGGCATGTGTGCGTGCCCAAAATCCTGAAAGGAGGGAGAGATGGAGAAGGGATTGCAGCATGACCATCCCCCCACGAAGGGTGCTTTCTCACCATCACCACCCCCGCCCCCATCACTCTCTGGTGAGTGCTTGCACTGTTTAGGCAAGATAAAAAAGTAAAAAACAGGGGGCAACAGATGGCATAGTGGTTATATCTCTGGAATCCCACATGGCCTACCACAGTTCGAGTCCCGGACCCAGTGGCTTGAAAATCATGCCAGGCATGTGAACGTGCACATCCAAGATCCTGGGAGGACAATGGAGGAGAAAAGACTGTGGCATGGCCATTGCCCCTGTGGGGTGATTTCTCACTTTCATGCTCACTTTGTCTTCCCCTGCCCTGCGTGCACATGTGCCCTAAGGCAGAAACCTCTTTAAAAGTAAAAAATTAAATTTCTAAAAAGAAAAACATCTTCCATGGAAGGCAGTGGCCACCCAGTGGGTTACGAACCACCGAGCCACACCCTTACTCCTACCTTCACCACGTGGCTCCTCTCCCCCAGGTGTGACTGGGGGGCTAGCTGCCCCCCTCGTAGCTGCCGGAGCCGCGACCATCATCGGCAGCGCGGGGGCGGCGGCGCTGGGCTCCGTGGCCGGCATAGCTGTCATGACCTCCCTGTTCGGTGCAGCTGGAGCTGGCCTGACAGGTAAGGCTTACCAGGAATGGTTGGTTCTGAGGGGTTTCCCGTCAGGCTGGCCCACCCTAAAGGACACAGGCAGGTTCTCACCAGTGAGGGCTCCTTGGGACACAGAGGAGGCAGGCTCGTCCCTCTCTGTATCTCCGCTCTGCACAGAGAGTTAGGCCAGTAGCTTGGCCGGGGTCAGGGTAAGGGTTGTAATCGAGAGGCTGGATTTTGCCCCATGCGTTTTGTGTTTACATCCTGGGAGAGACTGACTGGACTTGTTTCTACCATCCAGTAAGACTGCCTCGGAGATGCTTGGGCTTCCTTGTGCAGAAAGAACATGGCTGTCCTTCCTTTGCCAACATCACCTGGGGGAGTTTTTCCAAATCATGTGTCAACAGCCCCCAGCCACACATGGATAGATCCCCGTTAGACTCCTCACGTGGATCATCACATCCCCTTTTTCATCTTGGTTAATGTGATCCACTTTTACTAAAAGGGGTGAATTATATCCCTTCGGTGTGAGAGCAGAAGATTTCAGATCCAATAGTCAGGACACAGCCATGCCCTAGTTCAAACCCTAGCTGCCCCACAGGGCCGGCCAGCCTCATCTGTACTGGGACAATAATGACACCTTCCTGAATGTACTCAGACACTAAATGCACTTGTCCAGAGGCAGGGCGCACACGCTCACCACGGGAGTGTGCGCACACACAGCCACGCTGACTGACATTCGCCACAGCCCGGCACTTCCGTTCTCATTCTCGCTTCTGGGTCTTTAGGTTACAAGATGAAGAAGCGGGTGGGGGCCATTGAAGAGTTCACATTCCTGCCCCTGACGGAGGGCAAGCAGCTGCACATTACCATCGCTGTCACCGGGTGGCTCGCGTCTGGCAAATACCGTGAGAACCAGAGTGGAGAAGGATGGGGGGGAGGGGCAGGCCTTGGCTGAGCTGGGCCTGCTGCTGCAGGCAGACCCGGGGCCAGGTTCTTGTCTGTGTATGCGTCTAGGGGGTGGGCCTGGGGGATCCCATTTTGCAGAGAAGGGAACTGAGGCTCAGAGAGGTGAGGTGACTGCATCCCACACCCACCTATCATCCACCCACTCATCGTTCACCACCCAGCGAGACCCGTCCACTAGCCATCCTTCTACCCAAGCCCCACCTGCCAATCCGTGCACCCATCAGTCTGGCTGGCTGGCGTATTCAGAGTTCCATACTGCACTTACCATGTGCCATGTGCTGAGCTGGGCCCTGGAAATATAGCGGTCAGCGGCCCAGTCATGGCCTCTGCTCCCATGGAACGTCCGGTCTGAGACAGAAGACAGACCAGGGAAGCTGTGTGGGGGTCCAGTCGGGAAAGCAGAGTGTTTCTGGGGAGGGTTCCTAGAGGAAGTAGCATTTAGGCTAAGGGCTGGCTATGGGTAACTTGGGTAAAGAAGGAGCAAGAACTGTCTACTGAGCCACAGGGCAGCATGTGCAAAGGCCCAGCCATGCAAGAAGGCCATCAGGAGCACGGGACTGCTGCAGCAGGCCGCAGGAGACAGGAACAGGCAGAGCCAGGCCATGCAGGAAAAAGGCCACTGTGGCAAGGAGTTTGAATCTGTCCTCAGAGCTAGGGAAGACAGCAAAAGACTTTAATCTGTGGATGAGAGATCAGGAGTCTTGGCCAAATGCCCTAAGCAAGTTACTTAACTGCTCTGTACCTCAGCTACTTCATTTATAAAGTGGAACAAGTCATTCTTGCCTTTCAAATTTGCACATAGATTAAAGTAGATTAATGCATGGAAGGCCCCTAGATTCTAGTTGGCATTCCATAAATGCCCATTCCTTTTGGTGCTCCAGTGTGAACGTGCACATTGCAGGGCACGCTAACCAGGGTGGCACTGAGGACTCACACCACCGTCCACTTGTGACCCGGCTCAGCCTTTGCAAGAGCCCAGCGTGAGGCTCAGCAAATAGTTCATCACTTAAAGAGAGCAGGGAGGGCCAGGAAATCCCGTCCTCCACCCCAACCACCCAGGCACCTTTGCTGAGGGTCACAGAAGAAAGCAAGCGAGAAAGCATTCAGATGTTCCCAGAAGCCATAGTCTTACTGGTGTGACTGCCAGACCCCAATCCTACACAGAGACTCTACATTCCCTGAACACCTAGGAAGGTGCTCTGAGGAAGTCGTTTTACTTGCAGGATAGGAGCTCAAATAATCTTGCACCTTGACTGATCTGAAGGGGAAATTTAGAGGAGTCACGTGGAAACTGAGAGGCAGGATTGGAACCCTGGTCTCCTGCCAGCATTCAGGGGTCCTTCTCATTAATGTTCATTATCCCATGTTATAAGAAAGACGAGCAAGAATCTAAGTAAAGGAATTTGCGGTACAAAAACCAAATCCCTTATCTTTGCTCTACCCTCATTGGCTCAGTTTGCCCCCAGCTTAAAGGTCAAGTTCATTTCAGGGGAAGGAAATTATCATTCAGCAGTCTAGTTTATTGTGGCGCCCAGGCAGAGGAGTGGTTAGAGGAATTAACCAAGCTAGAGGAAGTTCAGGGAGGAAATTCAAAAAGCACCTATTCCTGTCTCCTTGACAGCCGGGAAAGAAGCGTTATTATCACGGGCTCGCTTGCACACGTGAAAGGTCTTTGGACTTTCTTCAGTGCGGGCTTTTATTAATCTCATTGTGTGTAATAACGATAATGGTTTTGCAACCATCCACTCGCTGTGAGTCGGGCGCGACCCACGCACTTTATACATCGGCTCACGTAGCTCCTCATGGCAACCTGAGGAGGAGCTGGGTGTCTTCTCGCCCCCACTTTACAGTTAAGGAAGCCGAGGCTCATAAGGGCTGTCCAGCATCACTCAGCTGGTCGGGGCACGGCATGATTCACCCTTATTCTGTCTGGTTGCACAGTCCGTGTTCTTGACTCTAGGACAGCATGAGGCAGTAGAGCAGTTGTTTGTTTCAATTTGCTGCGGGCATATGTGCTTCCCAGAGAGAGGCAGAGAGAGAGGAAAAGGAAGAAAGTATCCCCGCCACGGCATGGTCATGCTCCATTCCCTTACCCGTTTGACCCTCTTTTCCAGATTTTGAGCACGTATACACACCCAGTCTGGTTTCCAAGCCACCAGGATGCAAACTGTGCACTCGGCCAAGTGGAGTCTGGTGGTCTTAACCACCATGCCAGAGGCTGGCCCTGTACTTTACAGTTTGTGTAATACTTTCCACGCTGCATTAACTCCACGCCCAGAACCTTGTTGTCATTCCATTCTTTTTCTTTTTTTGGAGAGGTTTTTGCTATAGGGCGCGTGCGCTCACCAGACAGACAGAGAGAGACAGAGAGACAGAAAGTGAGAAATCACCCCCCTGGGGGAATGGCCATGCTGCAATCCCTTCTCCTCCATTCTCCTCTCGGGATCTTGGGCACGCACGCACACGCGCCCGGCGTGAGTTTAAGCCACCGGGTCCAGGACTCAGACTGCGGTCGACTACATGGGAGTCCAGCGACATAGCCATTAAGCTAACTGCTGGTCCAGGTTGTCATTCCATTCTTACAGATAGAGCAGCCAAGGTTCAGAAGGGCAGTGCCCTGTACTTTACAGTTTGTGTAATACTTTCCACGCTGCATTAACTCCACGCCCAGAACCTTGTTGTCATTCCATTCTTTTTCTTTTTTTGGAGAGGTTTTTGCTATAGGGCGCGTGCGCTCACCAGACAGACAGAGAGAGACAGAGAGACAGAAAGTGAGAAATCACCCCCCTGGGGGAATGGCCATGCTGCAATCCCTTCTCCTCCATTCTCCTCTCGGGATCTTGGGCACGCACGCACACGCGCCCGGCGTGAGTTTAAGCCACCGGGTCCAGGACTCAGACTGCGGTCGACTACATGGGAGTCCAGCGACATAGCCATTAAGCTAACTGCTGGTCCAGGTTGTCATTCCATTCTTACAGATAGAGCAGCCAAGGTTCAGAAGGGCAGTGTGTCTTGCTGTAAGTCATGCAAGCAAGAAGCTTCCAAGCTGACTCCAGACCTGGGCCAGCATCCTGCCAGTCTCCTATACCTGCTGCCTCTCCCAGAGCTGGCCGTCCCCTTAGCCATAATGAGAGGTAGTTGGTCCTTGAGTTGGTGCAGAGCTGAGTCAGGGTCCCTGCAAGGGAGAGGGAACCGTGTCTGTGTCACTGTAGAACACTGCAGATAAGGATGAGGCCAACCCAAACATCCTGGAGAATTCTCCCAGTTATTTTTAAAATCTGGTCTCTGTTGACTTGAAGTGGTGTAAAAACAGTTCCATATGCTATGTTTCTTCCTTTCATTTTTCCCCCCACTACATCTTATAGTTTAAACATAGATCTTTCATCAGAGGCATGGAGCTGATGTTGAGAATTTGAAGGCTCCAGGAAGCAGGCTCCATCCTTTCCTCCCTTCGTTCACTGTGTTGTCACGATTGCTCACCATGCATCGCTTCACCAGGCTTTGGGATTGTGGTGCTTGACCAAGCACTCTGTAGGAGAGGCACACGTCAGAAAGAGGATGCAAAACTAAGTGTAATTATGGATTGTGCTGAGAACTTATAGCCAAACAGCACAAGGTGCATTCGATGTGGTAGAGAAGCCAGGAAGGTGGCCCCTTGGAAGAGGCGGTTGAACGGGAACCTCGAGGACAAGTAACAGTGACCTGGGGGGACTCGTGTCAGATCCAGGGGCTAGTGAAGGGGTTAGCAGGTTGGGAGGAGATTTTGGTTTGGGAAAGGTCACTTGAGCTACAGCAGAAATAGATAAAGTTAGGTGCCCCTCTGTGCCTGTCCTAAAGGTGGCAGGGAGGGCGAGGAGAAAGAGAAGGAGGAGAGCGAGGAGGAGGAGAGGGAGGAGAGCGAGGTGCAGGGAGGGCGAGGAGGAGGAGAGGGAGGCAGGCAGGTAGGCATGACGATGCTTTCCCACGTGGCACTGGCTGCCGTGTGGTGCCGTCTCCATCCGTCCACGGCATCATTTCCAGTTACATTTCCTGAGTGAGAGATGGAGGGGCAGAGAAATTGGGTGACCCAGCAAGATCATGGCAGAGCTGGGTCAACTACGTCTTCCCCAATTTCCAGCTATTTCCCCAGTTAGTGTTTGTGGATTCAAGATGCCATTGGCTCTGGCCCACCAGGTGACCTGGTAGTTAAGGCACTGGACTTCCACATGGCTGGCCACGGCTCGAGTCGGACCTGGTGGTTTGAAATTCACACCAGGCACGTGTGCATGTGTGCCCAAGATCCAAGGGGAGAATGGAGAAGGGATTGCAGCATGGCCATCCTCCCTGATGGGGTGATTTCTCATTTTCCCTCTTTTTTTTTTCTCTCTCTGGCAAGCACATGTGCCCTATGGCAAAAACCTAAAAAGAAAAAAAAAAATGACGGCGCTGCCTCACTGAGCCACGGGGCTTGTCCTGTCGTGTGTCCCTCTTGTATGTTGTCAGCAGCTTGTGGCCAGAACTACTTCAGGGTGAGAAAAAAAATGATACTTTATTTATATAGTAGTTCAAAAACTTAATCCTTACAAGCACCCTATGAAGGGAGGTAAAAATTAATCTCCCCACTTCATACAGAAGCAAAGCGAGGTTCAAGGTGGGTGGGTGACATGCCTAAGGTCACCCAGCTACTAGTGAATGCAGGAATTGGGATTCGAACCCCAGACCACTGACTCAGGGCAGCGTGAGCACCATCTGCTCTGCTACACCAGCTGCCACTCACTGGCAGGGGTAGGCCTGTTGTCTATCCCCTCAAGGGTGAGTGGTCTCCCCCACTGCCTGTCTGGGATAGTGGGGAGGGACATCCTCTGCCGAGACAGGGCAGACCCCACCTACCCCTGTTCTCCCCAGGTACCTTCAATGCCCCGTGGGCAGTGTTGGCCCGAAGCCGTGAGCAGTACTGCCTGGCCTGGGAGGCCAAGTACCTGATGGAGCTCGGCAATGCCCTGGAGACCATTCTCAGTGGCCTTGCCAACATGGTGGCCCAGGAGGCCCTGAAGTACACAGTGCTCTCTGGTAAGCTTTCCCCAGCTTCCATCCCACGGTGTTACGGTGTTACCAAATCTCTGCATGCCTGCGACCACCAGGGAGCCAGGCACTGTGCTGGGCCCTAAGAACACAGAGAGCTTAAGGCAGCATTTCTGTCTCTGAGAAGTTTATGGTCTTTGGGGAAACAGGTAAATGACCAGTCACATAATATATCTGTTAGCTGTTGCTGCATAACAAGCCACCAAAACTCAGTAACAATCATGAGGGCCAGCTAATGGCATAATGGTTACATCGCTGGACTCCCACATAGTCAACTGCGATTTGAGTCCCAGACCCAGCAGCTTAAAACTCATGCCAGGTGCCTGTGTGTGCATGCCCAAAATCCCTAGAGGAGAATGGAAGAGAAATGATTTCTCACTTTCTGTCTCTTCAGCGAGCACACACTCCCTATAGCAAAAATCCCTCTAAAAAAATAAATAAATAAAAATAGCAATCATGTGTCATAATAGCTCAGGAGCTGTGGGACTGGAGTTGGTAGAACTTAGCTGGGCCTGCTTGTGCATCTCTGGGTCCGTCGACTCTCCACTGATCCAGGCTAGCCTTTTCTGGGACAGCTAGGGCAACTCAGACCGTTTCATTGGCCTCTCCTCCTGTGCACGCTAGCCCACACCAGGGGCAGAAGAGCGAGGAAGCTCGCCCCAGTGCAGGAACCCATGTTAAGCCTCACATCTATCATGTCCCTGGCCAGAGCAAGTCGCGTGGCTCCACCTAGAGGCGGTGAGTGGGGGCTGGACAGTGCAGCATTAGGAAACAAAGTTGGAGGATGCAGGGTCGGGAGACAAACCAGGGCTCTCTCTGGAGTGTCACACGAGTGAAATGACAAGCACTTGAGCAGAAGAATTTAGTCCATCTATCATAAGTGCATGAGCTTCGATCTTCCCTTCTATTTAACAGTTTGACAACACAAAATTTGCAGGTTTCAAGTTAGAGACGCTGCAGGCATCACTCCAGCGTCCACTAGCCAGTCATTGCCCTGGAGGCACCCCACCCCCATCACTGACATCCCATCTCCACAGGCATCGTGGCTGCCCTGACCTTGCCAGCCTCGCTGCTCAGCGTGGCCAACGTCATCGACAACCCCTGGGGTGTGTGTCTCCACCGCTCAGCAGAGGTCGGCAAGCACCTGGCCCACATCCTGCTCTCGCGGCAGCAGGTACCAGGAATGGCTGGGGGTGGGGGAGGAAGGGGCTGACATGTGCACGGTTGGTGTCAGCCCGATGGCTTTGGGGGTGTGGGTGGTCTTACTGCCCCTGCAGTTCAAGTCATCAAGGTGTCCTAGGACGGAGCAGCAGGAGCCTCAGGCTGTGCATCCCGACAGGTGACTGGGTAAGGGTTGAATAGCAGGGGCATCTGCAGGTGTGGACAAGGTGGGGGATCTAGCTGAAGAGGAAGTGGGTCCTATGCGTTGCTCTTCATTAAAGAAATGTGGTTGGAATCATTTGGGCAGTGTTTCCATGCACAGCGCTGGCTGTTGGCAGTGACGGTGATAAGTGAATGAGATCACGTGCCTCTGTTGGCCACCGGCGGGGTTCCCAGGTGCTGCCAGCGGGGTGTTCCTTCCTAGAAGAATAAAGCTACCATCTGAGGAAATCGTCAGTGCTCTCAAACCCCGTAAAATAGTTAGGAAGAGAAGTTGTCGTAACCTAGTCATGTGTCACTTACTCAGTGTGGGTACGTTCTTCTGTTATTTTTTTCCCTGCCCCTCTGCTGTCCACCTAGTGAGTAAGCCCTGATAGCCACTGCTCAGAGGTGGTGTGACACTTCCTTGCCTAAGATACATCCGTTCTGTCCGTTGTAACAGAAATATTTAGGAACTGGCTGGTTCACTAGCTCTGCTTTTCCTCATCCATTGTTACGTCAGTACATCTGTACAGCTGAGATGTTACGAGATCTTCTTTGTCCACAGCAAACTGACACTTTACCAAAGCTGCACACACAGACCTGTGGTTATCAGCTAAACCTTCTCGCAGATGTGGAGATACTGTCAAAGAGCCTTCCTTTACCCTCCTCTTCTCTTCCACCATCCCAGTGACAGGTACAGGACTGTATCTACCCCCAAGAGGTAGATTAACAAAGGTTACTTCTCTTTTACTTATTTTTTTTTAATTTGCTTTATGGCACATGTACTCACCAGACAGAGACTGAGAGAGAGGGAAAGTGAGAAAGCAAGCTGCCAAGTCTAGGACTTGAACTGCAGCCAGCCATGTAGGAGTTCAGCACCTGCTAGCCCCAGCAAAGGTCACTTCTAAAAGATAGACCTTCCTACAAAATGAACAAAAGGACATTGATAGGCCCAGCTGCAGTAGTGCACGTTGGCTGCTGCTGCTGCTTGGTAGATTGAAGCTACATGAGAGAGAGATCTGGGTTCGATTCCCAGCCCACCCTAAAAAGCTCGGAGTCTCCACAGTGGGACATAACAAGACCCTTTGACATGGGTCAGTGTGGGTCATCCTGAGAACTGCATTCTGAGGTGGTTTTGCAGTTGTGCAGACATCGTAGTGTGTGTTACACAGACCCAGATAACCACAGACACGAGTCGTGCTGCACTGCGACATCGCGACAGCCAGCAGGAACTGCTCAGCTCCCTTACCGTCTTCTGAGACCCTCATCATATATCCAGTGTCGCTGACAAATGACCCGAACATCGTTCTGCAGCGCATGACTGTATTTTAAAATTTTGAATCTAGTCAAGATTCAAGGAAATGAAATTGTCCCCTTCAAAATAAATGAGTATAAGGAGACAAAGGTTTGAGCAATAGTGTCAGAGATGACTATATTGTTAGGTTTTGTTTTGGCCGCAAGTGGGAGAAAATCCAAAATAGCAGTGGCTTCCACGAGGTAGGGGTTTCTTTCTCCTAGACCAACTGGGAAGCTGTCCCGCATGCAGCTGGTGCACCATGGTGTGGAGACCCAGGTTTCTCCCCCATCGCTCTGTTCTGTGTGGTCTGGCCTCGTGGTCCCGGGCGGCATCATCTGAGCTCCATGTAGCAGGAGCAAGGAGGAGCGGAAAAAAGAGCAGAGCCAGGCCCATAGCCTAGTGGGTAAGGGAGCCAGATCCCAAAGACCAACCAGGGCTAAGTCCCAGCCCCAGCAGTTTGAAAAACATGCCATATGTGTGTGCATGCATGCCCACAGCCCCAGCAGTTTGAAAAACATGCCATATGCGTGTGCATGCATGCCCAGGGTCCCAACTAGATGGAGAGGTGGAGGAGACGGGATTGAACTTTACCATGCCCCATGGGGGGAGAGGGGGTTCTTTCTCCCTCTTCTTTTCTGCCTGTCTCTCCAGTAGCACACACACACTATAGCAAAAATCTCTGAAAAAGAAAATTGCCACAAGGGCCAGCAGATGGCATAGTGATTAAGACTCTGGACTCTCTCATGGCTGACCACAGTTCAAGTCCCAGGCCTGGCAGCTTGCTTTCTCACTTTTTTTTTTCTCTCTCTCCATCTCTCTCTGGTGAGCACATGGGTCCATAGCAAATTAAAAATAGTAATAATGATACATGAATACAATTTTGTAAAAACTTTTTTTTTTAGAGGTTTTTGCTTTAGGGTGTGTGCGCTCGCCAGAAAGACAGAGAGAGACAGACAGAAGGCAAGAATCACCCCAGGGGGGATGGCCACACCACAATCCCTTCTCCTCTCTCTCTCCTCTCGGGATCTTGGACATGCATGCACACGCGCCCAGCATGAGTTTAAATCACCAGACCCGGGATTTGAATTGCAGTCAACTACATGGGAGTCCAGCAACATAGCCATTACACTAACTGCTGGTCCCCATAAAAACTTTTTTAAAAAATTTTAAGAGAGAATTTTGTGGGGCCAGCAGGTGGCATGATGGTTAAAGGCACTGGACTCCCACATAGCCAACCACAGTTTGAGTCCCAGACCTTGTGACTTGCTTTCTTACTTTCCATCTCTCTCTCTTTCTCTCTCTCTCTCTCTCTCTCTCTCTGTCCCTCTCTGGTCAAATTAAAATAAATAAATAAATAAAGTTAAATAAAATAATTCTTTTAAAAAGAGAGAGTGATTTTGCTATACGGCATGTGCACTTGCCGGAAAGACAGAGAGACAGAAAGCAAGAAATCCTCCTGGAGACCCGGGTCGGCCATGCCACAATCTCTTCTCCTCCATTCTCCTCTCTGAATTTTTTTTTTTTAAAGAGGGATTTTTGCTATAGGGTGAGTGCACTCACCAGAGAGATAGAAAGTGAGAAATCTCCCCCAGAGGGGGATGGCCACACTGCAATCCCTTCTGCTCCATTCTCCTCTTGGGATTTTGGGCGTGCATGCATACGTGCCCGGCGTGAGTTTTTGGTTGTTTTTTGTTTGTTTGTTTTTTTCCGGCGTGAGTTTTAAGCAGCCAAGTCCAGGACTCAAACCGCAGTCAAGTACATGGGAGTCTAGCAACATAATTGTTACACCGTCTGCTCATTCCTCTCCTCTCAGAATTTTGGGCATGCACACGCATGCACCTGGCATGAGTTTTAAGCTTCCAGATCTGGGACTCAGACCATAGTCGACTACTTGGGAGTCCAGCAACATAACCATTATGTCATCTGCTGGTCCCCCCACCAAAATTTTTATAATTGCCACAAACTTACCAGCTAGAAATGAATTCATTGGGGGCCAGATAGTGGTGCAGGGGTAATGCAGTGCTCTGTTAGACTGGCCCACACAGGAAGGTCTGGGTTCATGTCTAGAGACCTCCCTGAGTACACCCAGTGCTCGTGTGCCCACGATCCAGGGCTGGCTGGAGCCGAGAGGACATCACAGTGTGACGACACTGCTGGAGGCTGTCTCTCCATCTTGCTCTCTCTCTTTTTCATTCATAGAAGAAACTTTTTTGAAAAGTAAAACTGTATTACCTTTTACAGTCTTATCCCTCACACAGATGTCTTATCTTACAGCTCTGGAGGTAGGAAGTCCAAGGTGCATCCACAGGGCTGCATCCCTCAAGGACTCCAGAGAGCATCCATTTCCTTGCCTTTTGCAGCTTCCAAAGGCCCCTACATCCATCGTGAGAGCCCCCTTCCTCTGTCTGCAACGTCAGCAGTGTAGCGTTTTCAGACAGCAGTGACTTTGTAAATTTAAAAATTTCAGGGGACCACTTAATGCGGAATTAAAGTACAAGTGCAATATTTAAGATGCATGAAATTGTTTTGCGCATTACAGCATTAACTAGCTCTTAACTTATGCAGTGCATGCCAGCGAAGGGCAATTAAAGTGTAGCAGAAAAAAAAAAATGATAGATCTCTATGCCGTCCTGTCTTTTCCTCTAACGGTGCTTTTGAAGGCTTTAGCTCCATTTGCATCTCAGCTCCTGTTCTAGATTTAGGAGTACCTGCCTGGTAAGTTCTGAAGCTCGTTCACCCTCACCGGAACTGGTGTGCGTGCGTGCCCAATATCCGGAGAGCAGAATGGAGGAGAAGGGATTGCGGCGTGGCCATCCCCCCTGGGGGGTGATTTTTCGCTTTCAGTCTCTCTGTCTCTCTCTGTCTTTATGGAGAGCGCAAGCACACATGCCCTATAGCAAAAAACCTCTCCAAAAAAAAAGGGAAAAAAAATGCCAAAAAGCTGTTCCTGGAAAGGCATGGTATGCATTAGGATGGCAGGGTCCACGGAGAGAAAGTGGGTATGAGCATATGGTCAGAAAGCCAGAGGAACAGAAACTGCATAAATGCTGCTTCATGGGCCCCTGCAGCTGCTGGGATGCTTCTAGCACTTGAGATAAGAAGGGGGAGGAGTCACGGATGTGAGCCAGTTCAAATATTTGCCTGTCCCTCTGTTCATGACTTACATAGATGGGTTGCAAGCTCCACGCACACTGGCAAACGCTGAGAAAATCCAAGTTTTCTGTTACCTCCCCGTCACCACACCCCCTTCTTTCTGACTGACTCCTTCTGCATCCCTCTTACACCTCTGATAGGACCGTTGTAGTTACATCAGGCCCATCCAGAGATTCCAGAATAATCCTGCCCATCGCAAGACCCTTAACTCAGTCATATCTTCAAAGTCCCTTTGCTGTTTAAGGTAGCATTCACTGATTCTGGGTGAAGGTATGGACATTCACAACATTAGGAGGAGCCCAAACTCCCTCAGCCCTAGACACGTGGCTTCTCTCCTGTGGCCTGGGTAGAACTTCTGTTGTACCCCGGTCACGAAATTCCCAAGAGACCCCAAGGAGGCAATTTTGATGTAAACACTCAAGGGTCGCTTTTATTCCGGCTCGAGCCAGGATTCCCAATCTTACCGGCACAGTGAGTCAGAGTTGAGAGCCCTGCATGTTAGTTGGGCTGGGTTTTTATTTGGCTGTTTGGGGGGGAGGTCGAGGGGTGCTGAGGAATGCACTCAGGCGGCTACACATTGGCTGTAGATTACAGGGAGTGTAGCTGTCTCTGGTATCTCCTTTCTTTTTTTCAACAAAAAAGTTACTTTAGGTTTCTGGTATCTCCTTTGTTTCTCTCACTGGCCAGTCCCGGTAGGGTGATGGTCTCAAGACTTTTTCTTACTTGACTGGCTGGCCTCCTTGAAATGGCGCCGATGCTCAGCAAGGTGGGTTTAACAAAATGAAGTCGCCCCGAAAGAAATGGAGTCCCTCTGGCCCTTCATTTCCCCCTTTCCCAAGGACATAGTGGAGCCAGTCTTGAATCCCTGTTCTTGAGCTCTATATTGTCCCGGTCAGGGATGGGCCGATTCTATGGTCTCTATCTCGTTCTGGGCGCAGTCGTTCACGCACAGGAGCGTCTGGTCGGATGGCCTGGGCCAGTGTTTATGGTATGCAGTCACGAGGTTCAGTTATTTACAGGGAGACTGTGACATAGCACTTTTCAAGACAGTGCAAGCAGTTTACAGAAGCAGGATAGCACTTGGTTAGGTACTTACGGAAATAAATTTTTTTTTTTTTTTTTGGAGAGATTTTCACTGTAGGGTGCGTGCGCTCGCCAGACAGACAGAGACATAGAAACAGAAAGCGAGAAATCACCCCCCAGGGGGGATGGTCACGCCGCAATCCCTTCTCCTCCATTCTCCTCTCGGGATCTTGGGCACAAACACACACGCGCCCGGCGAGAGTTTTAAGCGACCAGGTCCGGGCCTCAACCGTGGTCGACTACGTGGGAGTCCAGCGACATAGCCATTACGCTAACTGCTGGTTCCCCAGAAATAAAATTTTTCAGAAAACAGAAACCATATTTTTTTTTTGAGTCTTCTCAAATATCTGTTAAGGAGAGTCACTTTGATAGTGCAGCGCCTGTTATACTCGGGCTCTAGGTCCAGAGGCAACTAGCATCTAATATTTAAAGGCCTTTATCCGTCTCATGACTCAGCAGCAGCCCGTCCTTTCTCCGACCATCTGCTCGTGGAGCCGCCGAGTCACACCCTTGACAATGTCCGACTTGCAGTCCGCCCCTGGAGTGACTAGAGCAGGGCTGCCGCTCTCTGGTCTCTGAAGCACCACCATAAAGGACCCTCCTGGCCCATCCTTGTGGACCAAGGTCCTGGTGAGTCTGGGGAAGCAGTCCTCTTGGCTTTGGACTCACAGGCTCACTTTATAACCATGTGAGGCCCCATCTAGGCTAGTTGGAGGGGCCCCTCTCTTAGTTGTTTTACTATACATAACATTTAAAGATAGCACAGCCAGCTCCGGAACACTGACTTGATCAATCGTTGTAACTCTTTTTTAGACTTCTATAACAACTCAAACATTCAACAACATGCTTTACATTTTTTAGTTTCTGTCTCTTTTTTTTTTCCATTTTGTTATAACCATTTTATTTTCAGACAAAAACTCACTATACAAAATTTCTTTATTGGGAACCAGCAGTTAGCGTAATGGCTATGTCACTGGACTCCCACGTAGTCAACCGCAGTTCGTGTCCCGGACCCGGTGGCTTAAAACTCACGCCGGGCGCGTGTGTGTGCGTGCCCAAGATCCTGAGAGGAGAATGGAGGAGAGGGGATTGCGGCGTGGCCATTCCCCCCCCGCCCCCCGGAGGGTGATTTCTCACTTTCTGTCTCTGTCTCTCTCTGTCTGTCTGGCGAGCGCACATGCCCTATAGCGAAAAACCTCTCCCAAAAAAAAAAAGAAAAAAAAATTTCTTTATTATAAAAACTTTTCTTTTTAACCTTTTTTATTAGAACTACATTTTTACAGCCATAACCTTTCTTTCAGTTTTTTTGTTTTTATCTTTACCAGTTAAACATTAAAAATTGCCTTAATTTAACAGACAAGTTTAATTATGAACATTTACTGGGAACCAGCAGTTAGTCTAATGGCTATGTTGCTGGACTCCCACGTAGTCGACCACGGTTCGTGTCCTGGACCCGGTGGCTTAAAACTCACACCGGGCGCATGTGCGTGCGTGCCCAAGATCCCGAGAGGAGAATGGAGGAGAAGGGATTGCGGTGTGACCATCCCCCCTGGGGGGTGATTTCTCACTTTCTGTCTCTATGTCTCTCTCTGTCTGGCAAGCGCATGCACCCTACAGCGAAAACCTCTCAAAAAAAAAAAAACAAAAACAAAAACAAAACATTTACTCTATTTACATTTTGTAATTTTATTTCATTATTTATTTAAGGTGGTCTTTTTTTTTTTTTTTTAAGGAAAGCAAAACCAGGCTAGTCTTATATTAGCTAGCTTTATTTTATTTAAAGACTGAACTATTAGACATATAAATCTTCCCAATGTTCTCTAAGTTTTTTCTGTTTTTGAGGGATTTGATTTTCAAGGGAGCCCTGCCTGAGGGTTTTAGGATGTACGTGTGTACGAGCAGCACATTCTGAGACACCACTGATAAGGTTATCTAGACTAGGCACAAAGTTGGGGTTTTTTTGGTTTTTGTTTTTGTTTTTATGTTTTCTTCTCTTGAGTTTAGGAGGGGGAAGACAGAATCTGGGGCGGCTACCAGAACTTTTCGTTGGTGAGAGAGGTGTCTCCCCTCCGGCTGGGTCTTCTAATCTTCTCTCTGGTCACAGGCTCAGCCGACCTGTTTGCTACTGTTTGTTCTTATTTTTTTTAGGAGTGTGCTTTTGGAAGCAACCTTAGCCTCTGATGTAGACAGAAGTTAATCTTAGTCACTTTAAGGGTTACCTGAGGCTTGTCCAGTGTTGTCAGATGTCCAAGGGGAGCCGCTGGGGTCTCGGGCCCCATCTCTGGCCCTTCTCTTCTGGCATTGTGCATGCATTTTCCAGACTGTCGAGGCAGGAGAGTGGGGAAGGAGGGCAGCCTGGAAGGGACAGCTGTTGCCGGTGTTCAGTCGCTTGGCCAAGACGCAGCCCTGCGACGACCTCCAGCTACAAGGGAGTTAGGGGCACTGAGTCTTAGACGAGGCAGCTGTGTGCCCAGTTAAACCTGGGAGTTCTGTTACTGAAGGACAAAGGAAAAGAATGGGTACTGGGAGATGACTAGCCATTTTTGCCACAGTTTCTGCAGAATTCAAACACTATTCAAAGGAAGATTTTCTGTCTTTTTTTAATGTATGTGTGCCCACCAGAGAGAGATAGAGAGAAGACAGAGAAAGCACCCGCAGAGGGCTGTGGTCATGCCCAGTCCCTTGTCCATTTCTCCACTGTGTTGGGGTTTGGGGCAAGCATGTACATGCACCTAGCATATTTTTCAAGCCACTGGGGCCTGAATTCAAACCACAGTCAGCTCTGTGGGCTTCTGGCTCCCTTAACCACTAGGCTATGGGGCCACCCAATGGGAGAGTTTCTACGGTAGTGAATGGGCGAGGGAGGGAGGTGTTTGGAATACATGTACTGATGCGAAACTAAGGCAAAGGGGGCTGGACAGTGTCACTGTGGTAAACATGACCCTTGAGAGGCTGACCCACATGGAAAGGTTCTGGGTTCACATCCAGAGCCCTCACCAGGCACTCACCTGCCCCTGATCCAGCGCTGGCTGAAGCTGGGGTGCGTCGTGGCCTCAGGACCCTGATGGGGGTGTGGGCGCTCTCTCTCTCTCTCTCTCTCTCTCTCTCTCTCTGCCACTGTCTCACTTATGGAAGAAACAAATAAACTTCAAAAAGTAGTAATAAGGAAAAGGAGTAGACTGGTAAAGCCAGGCTAGTGTCCAGAGCTCATCTGCTCTTTCCCTCTTCCGTGTGTAACTTGTACCCAAATACCCCAGACATCTTTCTTCCCTTCCTGTGGTAGCTGCCTTTTCTGCAGGTCCTAGACTTACTGCCATCTCTTGTCATTTAAAGCCAAAATTTTGCATCCCGACTTCCCATCTAGAAACAGAATAGCTGTCCCTCCCTCATCACTCTGCCGTTTTTTTCCCATCACGCCTGGGGGCCTCTTCTGACTGATCTCCCCCACCTCCAGAAGGGGGTCTCAGCACCACAGTCTTTTGCCACAAGGCAGCTGAGTCCCGGGGAAGGAGGTCATGTAATTGACTCATAGAGGAGAGGGAGGCTGCATAATGGTTTGAGATGAAAGGGAGTTAACCCAACCAAGGCTGCCTATTGGTCTTGGAGGAAGCCGATTCCACAGCAGGTGGTTCCACAGCAGGTGGTTCCACAGCAGGTGGTTCCACGGCTGGTGCACGCCTGTACAAATGAGGACGCTGACACCCCGATGAAGCCGTCAGGACTCTCCCGCCACCGCACGTGTATGGTTAAGTGAGAAGCAGCAGTAAGGACCGTGCATAGGCCACCCTCGTCAAGACCTGTGTTTTGCTAGAATGTGGCTCTGTCCTCTCCAGACACCTGTGTCCTTGTTCCCCCAGGGCCAGCGACCTGTCACCTTGATTGGCTTCAGCTTGGGAGCCAGAGTCATCTACTTCTGTCTGCAAGAGATGGCTCAGGAGAAAGGTGAGTCTGGCTTACTGTCACAGACAAAAAGCCGTAAGTTTGTCCCCCGGGCTAGAGGTTATGGGCGTTGCGATGTGTGTTTCCAGTTCTTAGACACAACAGTTACCCGTTTAAAGCAGGAAAAGTAGAAAGGGATCTTTTTCTGTGCGTAAATGAGAGTGGCTGAGCAGCAAATGGTCCTGTAATAATGGCACTAGCCCTTGCGTCCTGATGCGTGTCCTCAAGTGGGAGTGAAGAGGACAAGAAGTCCAAAATCAAAGTGGTGGACCACGGCCCCTGAAAGCTGTAGGGAGGGTCCTTTCTGTCTCTTCCCTCTCCTGGCAGCTGCCAGCATTCCTTGGTGTTCCTTGGCTTATAGACGCCTCCCTCCGCTGCAGTCTCTGCCTCCGTGTTCACGTGGCCTCCTCCTCCGTGACGTCTGCCCTCCTTGTCTCTTGTATGGACAGTGTCATGGATGTAGGACCGTTCTGATGCAGGATGGTCTCCTCCCACGATCCTTAGTACATATGCAAAGACCTGGTTTCCAAGCAAGGCCCCAGTCCCAGGTTCTGGATGGACATACTGTCTGGGGGTTCACCCATCCAGCCCTCAGAATGGGGTGCATCAGGCTGTCCGATTTTTGTGCTGAGGCAGCAGAAAGTTTGGGGGCTGCTGCTCCTGTCCTGAGGCAGGCGAGGTCTCCCAGACGGGATGCTGGTTTGCACAGATCTGTCAGCTGAGGCTGCCTGTGGAGGGGTTGGTCAGGGTGAGTGAGTTGCAGAGCTTGGGGCACCTGTCCCTGTCACCTGGCCATTTCTTCCTCCTGGTGGAGCACAGCTGCATGGTCAGAGAAGGCCCCGAGACAGGGGCTCCTGGACTGAGAGCAGATGGTGCATGGGGGACAAGGGGCTGCAGTGACAGCTAGGATTTCCCTGAACCTCTCTGAGCCTCAGTTTCCCCACAAAATCGATGACACCCACCCTACAGGGTTGTTTTGAGAAGCGAGGAAGGTGACTCATACAGTGATTTGGCCAGAGTCAGCTTGATTGTCACTCTGCAGCTCCTGCTCCTTGGTGTCAGCCAGCCTGAGTGCCCCTCAACGGTGTCCGGGTCAGCCAGCGTGGGGTGGCACTGCTGCCTGATTGCCAACAAGCAAGGAGGGGAGGGAGCGTCTGCCATGGGCTGGACCTGCCCGAGACGGAGTCGGGCTGATTGCTGCTGTTCTCTGGGTGACGTTATCAGAGAGGGACAGTCCCTGGAGCTCCAGGCAAGACTCCTCTTGTTCTTTTCCTCATGCTAACGTGCCTCCCCAGCATTACCGCACTCTGAGGGCCAGAGCTACTTCCTTGGCTATGAGGCCAGGCGGGGTGAATGCATCATCCTCTCCAGTAACTGTGAAGGGGTGGGGTCGAGTGTTGTGTGTGCTCTGTGGTTGGGCCCTGCGTCCCCGGCCCTGCATCCTGGGCCCTGCGTCCTCGGCCCTGCGTCCTCTCCGCACACTCCTCCCCTGCTCCTCGTAGCTTCCCGCTGCCCCCTTCTTCCCGGCCTCGTCCACATCAGCAAACACAATGGGGAGGTGCCTGTTCTCTTTCCAATGGCCGTCAGTAACCTGGGACCATCACACAAAAGCCAGCTGTGACCTGTGGGCACCAAGAAGATCCAGGCTGGGGTCAGAGGTTAGGCAAAGCTACCAAGGATGTAGAGGGGTTTTCAGTAGAACAGAGTTTCCATTTTCACCCAGGAGAACATTGTACCTGCCCTTCACATACACATGTCCCTCCCTCCCAGCTGTCACCAGAGGTACAGCAAGTGACAGATGCCCCTTCCCTGCCTTGCCTACTCTGCCTGCTACAGGTAATCTGCTGGGCCCCCTGGCCTGCTTGGAGGAACTCAGACCATGATGCGTCCCCATTCTCAGCTCTTCACCCTCTTCAGTAAATGGATTTTTTCATTATTGCATAATGCCATTTTCTCTGTGGCTGTTACCTTGTGCAGATGGTGACTACACTGTCAAAAAAAATACCTCTGAGGGACAGTGTTCTTCACACAGTAGAATACAGTCTCTGCTATAAAAATGAGTGGGTTATGAAGAGGCAGGGTGGGTGTATCAGTTAGCAATGGCTGCAGGGAGTGGTGGGTGGATCAGTTAGCAATGGCTGTAGGAATGCTACGTAACAAATTCCCCCCAACATTTAAGGGTTTTGGCAACAAAGATTTTTGTGCTTAGGGTCTCCAAATTGGCTGTGGTCCAGTTGCTCTCAGATGGACCCTGTTTCTGGCTGTAGGGTTGGTGTGCTTAGCTCTCGGATGTGAATTGGGCTTGAGTCTGCTCCATGTGTTTTCATCCTGGTGACATTGAAGGGGCACAGCCACCCAGGGCATGCTCTTCTTATGGTGGGTCACTAGGGACCTGGGGCCAAGCAAACCATGCACGTGCATGGGCGGCCTCTGCTTGTATCGCATTCTCTGACGTGCTCTCTCCATTATTTATTCTGAAAAACCACCTCTCCACATGCAGTGGCTTGAAACGACAAGTCTATGGTGAGTGGGCAATTCTTCCTCAGCTGGGCTCGCTGCTGACAGTTGCAGACAGACTGAAACGCCCAGAAGGTCCATGTTGACCCCCCCCTTACATGCTGTGGCTGTTGGCTGGTGTGCCTCAGCCCAGGGGACCACTCATCTCCCACTAGGTGTGCCTGACTTCCCTAGGTGGCATCCTTAGGGCAAGAGCAAACCTTGCAAGGCCTTTTAAAGCCGAGACTCGGGAACCAGCAGTTAGCGTAATGGCTATGTCGCTGGACTCCCACGTAGTCGACTGCGGTTCGTGTCCCGGACTCGGTGGCTTAAAACTCACGCCGGGCGCGTGTGCGTGCGTGCCCAAGATCCTGAGAGGAGAATGGAGGAGAAGGGATTGCGGCGTGACCATCCCCCCTGGGGGGTGATTTCTCGCTTTCTGTCTCTATGTCTCTCTCTGTCTGTCTGGCGAGCGCACGCGCCCTACAGTGAAAATCTCTCCAAAAAAAAAAAAAAAGCCGAGACTCCAGAGCACGTCACATTCTGTTGGCCAAAACAAGTTACAAGCCAGGCCCGATTCAAGGGGGCAGAGGGAGAATAGATTTCTCCTCTGGATGGAAGGGTTGGCAGAGAATTTGGGGCCATCTTTCATCTTTGACATATTCCATTGGCCAAAGCAAGTCAGCGGCCAAGCCCCAGGTCTGCAAGGTGGAGCGTTACACCCTGCCCACAGGGGAGCCGTCTAAGAGCCATCTCTGCCTAGATGGAGAGCCTGGTCTTGGACGAGGACACAGCCTCCCTGGCTATCCACTCCTACTCGCAGCAGGGGTGAGTGTCAGCCGGGGCAGCAGAGATGGCCAGAGTGTGTGGAGGGCAGACAGCCTGGCAAGCTCGTCCTCAGCAGTCTTCAGCCGAGGGACTCCGTGCTGGTCAAGGAGTAGCTGCAGGCTCCTTGCAGGAAGGCCTCCGGTGGTGTCCTCTGTGTAGTCATTTCACTCCTTTCCTGTCGTCTTTCCCCAACCCAGGCATCTCTCGTCTACCCGCTCATTGCCCAGAGTGATGTGTTCTTATTAGTAGGACTGAGTCCCCGTGGAGAGGAAGGAGAACTCCTGTCTCTGCCTCCGGTTGGCATAAATTATCTGTTGACTTCAGACTACTAATAGAGGCCGAGCCTTCAGCTCCCTGCTGAGCAAATTGAATTAATCACCATTGCCCACTTGGCCGTGGCCGTGGCTGTGGCCGTGGCTGTTGGAAATGAGGTGGCTGGGCCGGTCAGCTGCCCGCAGAATGTGAGGTGAGAGGGAAGAGGCAGCAGGTGGCCTCTGGGTGGCAAGGCTGGTGTGAGACGCTGGGGTCTGCCTACACCACAGCCTTCTGGGGGTGGTCTCAAAGCTGCTCCCTTCCTGCCGGTGTCATTCCTGGTTACTGCTCCCACCCCCGGAGCATCATGGCCCCCCAGAACTCGGGCTTTGATATGAGGCAGACCTGGATTTGCCTCCCAGTTTTGCCACTGTGGCTGTGGGACCTTGGGCCAATTGCAGAACCTCTCTGAACCCCAGCTTCCTAAAATGAATATGGGGTTTTGTACACTTGCCCCAAAGCATTGCTTGGGACTGAAACGGGATTGTGATTGTGAGAGTTCTGGCTCTGATCTGAGTACACTCCATAAATGTTTATCTGAGCTCGATCTGAGGGCATCCCGTGCGCAGGGGACTGTGGGGAGTGTTGTGCAGACCTAGGAGCTTGTCCTTTTGTGTCCACTCCCTAGCCCCCAGCTTAGACCGTGGTTCCCCTGTTGCCTGGCACATTTAGAGTATTTAGGAGGAAGGAGAGCTTGATGTGGGGAGGGAATGACGCACGTGCTGATGTGCTGTGAGCCCATGCAGTCCCGCCGGGCCAGGCCGTGTTCTAAGCCCTGGGTGTCTGGCCGCATTGTAAGCCTGCCAGGTGCCCGGCCGTGTCTTAGCCCACTGGGTGCCGGCCATGCTAAGCCCCATCAGTACTCAGCTGTGCTCTAAGCCCGCCTGGTGCCCGGCCATGTCTTAGCCCACTGGATGCCGGCCATGCTCGGGCCCGTCAGTACTCAGCTGTGCTCTAAGCCTGCCAGGTGCCCAGCCGTATCTTAGCCCACCGGGTGCCCGTGCTCAATCCCATCAGTACTCAGCTGTGCTCTAAGCTGCCAGGTGCCAGCCGTGCTCTGAGTGCGTGTGTGTTTCATCCCCTTCCGTCCTCACAGCAGCCCGAGGAGGTTGGCGCTGCTCTCCTCCCTGCTTCTTTACTGAGAGAACTGAAACTCTCGGAGCCCCAAGAGAGTAAGCCCTGAGATCCGAAGCACCAGAACCAGGATTGGATCAGGGAGTCCCTGCACTCTGCAGAGGGGCTAAAGCTTGAACAAGGGGCAGGGACCATCCTTCGGACCAGAGAGGGCATTCCAGAGGCCCGGCCAGCTGGACAAAGGCACAGTTCTCGGGGGCTTAGAAATGGCAACGTCCATTGTTTCTGTAGCC